CATGAGCCAGCAATGTGCCCTCACAGCCCAGAAAGCCAACCGTATCCTGGGCTGCGTCAAAAGAAGTGTGGCCAGCAGGTGAGGGAGGTGATCCTGCCCCTCTATTCTGCAATGGTGAGACCTCACCTGGAGTACTGCATCCAGGTGTGGAGTCCTCAGTACAGGAGAGATGTGGGCCTGTTGGAGTGCATCCATAGGTGGGCCACAGAAATGATCCAAGGGATGGAACACCTTCCCTATGAGGACAGGAGAGAGAAGGCTCTGGATAGATGTGAGAGCAGCCTTTCTGTTTGGAAAGCTTACACCTTATGTAATGCTTTATTTATCTGGACAGGAATTCCATGGGAAAGATTAGAAAACCTATGAACTCATCTGACTATTTAGATTCTTTTTACAGTAGTGTTCCCATTGAATGAAACCTAGGATTGAAAAAGTATGAGGTGTAGCAGTCTGTTGAGGTATTTTGCTTTTCTAATACAAATCACGGAAAACTGTCCTGTGTTACAATAATTGCCTTTCAGATGTGCAGTGTATATTAAGGAGAAGATGTCACGTTACTGGTGAAAATACTACAGCTAGTTATTCAATGCAGGAAACTTTCTCAAAACTGAATAAAAAGATTTTTAATTTAAAATTTTGCTTAAATATATATATATACATATATATATATTCCCAAATATCGTTGGACCTTTGTATTTCTAAGGGGATTGTTTCACTTCTATTCTTTATTGTCTTAGAATGAAAAAATGTGAACTAATTTAATAGGGTTTTACCCTATTTTTTACGTTGTTTTTTTTTTTTTCTTTTATCACTTTATTTCTTTTAGAAGACAAGTAAAATAGAAAAGAGAAACTTGAATGTTGGAAATGAAATACAAATACAATTAATTAGGTTTCAGGTGATGAAAAAAGTTGTGTTCTGTTGATCTTTGATTAAAAGCAAATATTTTTGGGGAGGAAAGAGTTATTTTCCAGTATCAGGAAAGAACTAAAAAAGAAATGGAATGACCAATTCCCAAGCCCACTGTGCTAATTCTGATATTGCAGTTACTGGTAGAGTAGAAATCAGCTTCTCAAATATTCTGTTTACACACATCGCATTACGGTTGTTGTGCAAAAGGTATTCTTGGCTGAAAGAAGGGTCTAATAACCTGTAATTAGAGGAATCTGGGAATCTAATGATCTTTATGAGTATTAAATTAAATGTAGCTTTTCTTCCTTGCATTTGCATGGACTTTTCAGTAGCATGAGTATTTGCAAGAAGTACCAGTGCATCCTTGCCTTTGGAACAGCATGCCAGAGGCGACTTCTTTTGCCTCACTGCACTTCAGAGGGGAAAGAGAAATAATTGTTTCTATGCAACTAGGAGTAAATCACCCAGGTTGAAACAAGATAGTACCTGACAGCAGGTAAAGCTGGAGAAAAAGATTTCAGTAAATTGTTATTGGAAAGGAAACTGTTATGCAGAACAGAAGATTCCAATGTGTGAATACATGCCTTCATGTAAGCTTAGTGTCTAAGCTTCTAAAAGAAGATCCCTGTCTTGACCCAGCAAACTGAGTATGTATGAGAAGACTGAAAAATATTAATAATCTATATTTTTTATTTTTCCTATTTAGAAAGTTACCATGTATTTACATATGTATGCTCCTTAGGTTTCTAGGATATTACAGGGGAAATCTGCCATTTTCCAACTGTTTCCAGACTAAACAGTGTTCCTTCATTCTTTGTCCCTTTCTGTTTTCCAGAGAGTTTGGAGATACCAACACATTTTATTTTATCTTTCACTGTGGACAAACATAGAAGTGTTTTAATAATCTGATTTATTTCTATCAGTTATTTGAGAATTTGTTCAGAATAATTTTTTTTCCCCAATTTTTAAGATTAGAAGACCGTAAAAAAAATAGGAGGTATATTATGTATTCTATTTGACAAAGGGACTCAGAGTGCTGGCAAGGATGTAGTAGTAAAATTCTTTCTGTTGATTGACTAATTGGATATGTAGAGAGTATTCTTTCTTTTTCCTTCAGCTTATATCATTCTGGAGAATTTATAGTTTATCTTCTATTTCTTACAGTTGCCAAACTGGATAAATACATTTCTATAGCTCTTTCTGTGATTTCAGAGAGGGCATTTTCCATCTGTTATTATAGAAGAGTTTCAGTTTAGGCACATCAGTTGAGTTAGTTTTCTGTAGCTTAAAGGCATATTCTTGTTAGGGACCATCAGTTATCCTATCCTTACAGCGCAGCTGTAAGTAGCTTTGTTTTTTATTTGTTTGGTTTGTTGGATATTTTTATTATTTTTATTAATAGCTCCTGTGTATTAGTGTGATTTGGAACAGTTTTGTATATCTTCTATTCCCTGGTGGATAAAGAAAGAAAACATTCATTACTCCAGAATCCAAAACATGAAAGAATAGACAAATTCACCCTTTTTACACACAGCATTTTTTTTTTTTTTTGTGCCAGAGAATGCTTTTGAAATGGGACTATGCTTCAGTTACAGTACTAATACATAGCTGTCACTTTTTTCTCATCACGGTAAATAGAGTTACTGAAACATGTAAATGTCTGCTGTGCTTGTGCAAATGCTTGTGCTGCTTTGGCAAGTATCTTCCATGTGCTGGCTCTAAATTATTTAGCTGTCTCTTGTGTGCAGTTTGGTTACAACAGAAAGTCACTTAGTCCCCTCTCCAGCCACTTGGAGCCTTTGCTGGAGCATTTCGCCTCCAGAAGTAAACACAAGTCTAAGTATAGCTCACACTTCTTTGTAGTATATTTTCATGGTTGGCTGTCTAAACAGCCAGGCTGTCTAGACAGCTGACGACACTGAAAGCTCCTACGGTCAGATGCAGCCACGTAGGCTGCTCTCAGGGATGTTACCTCGTTGGTGTCTGCATAGGTGGGCGCCAGCAGAGCTTCTCATTCAGGATGGCTGAGCCGTCTCTGAAGCTCCCTGTGCTCCAAGTCTATGCTAGTGGTGCGTTAAATAATACACGTTTAAACAGAAGCAGGAATTTATGGTTATTGCAGTTATTTCTGAGTCTGCTTTTTTTGGTGCTTTTCAAAATTTGCTTTATGGTGTTACTTGTACTGTGCTCAGTCTTAAACTTTGAGAAGAACTTGGAAGCCTAATGCTTTTCCTCTCTGAGGAAATAATGACAAAGATAAACTAAGATCAGTTTTAGTCCATTCCTTAAAAATTGAAATAAATATATACATATGTTCACACAGAGTTCTTCTGCTATCAATAAGACATAGATTGTGTACAAAGCTGGATCATGAGTTTACAAGTGCTTGCATAAGAGAAATAAAAAACACCAACCTGATTAGAGAATGTTCTACCAGGAGACTTTTTCAGTGGCCCTGGGTTACTAAGGATCGTTAGTAAGGGTTTGTCTGGATTAGGAGGTGGTTCTTTCTCTTAGCTTTCATGTATAATGCATTTACCACTTTTTGTGACTGGGTGTTTAGCCTCCTACAAAATGTTTTAGACATATCTTTACGTATCTTGACTATTTTCTAAACCACTGGTCCAGATGTGATTGTAATAGGGAGCAGAGTAGTATTTGATGGTTCTAAATAACTATTTGCTCTGTAATCACAGCAGCTCGGTCTTTCAAGGGTCAAAAGAAAGAAATGGGGATATTTGATGACCTTCTAACTGCTGTTAGACAAGTGAAGCAAAAATGCTGGTAATGCTTTCAAAAAGTTTCCTAAATACTGGACTAAACCACTGGGGATGTCTTGTTGCATAAATTGATTTAAAAGAATATTTTGTCACAAATGTTTGGAAGATAGGTACCTTAGATGCCACATGTCATTCTCCAGCCTACAATATAAGTTTGCTGATGCAAGATGAATCTGCCAGCAGCAAGTGCAGAAGGAAAATTCTGTACCCAGTTTAATGTTGTTCTGATAAATTTTTCTACAGGTGACCAGTATGTGCTAATGTGTCTGTTCCTTGTGAAGTGTGTGTATGCATAATATGAGTTCAGCACTTGGTCTTCTTGATCTGTCAAAAGATATGTTCAGAACTCTTAAACAGACTGAATTGTGCAACTGCAGAAAACAAATCCTGTATATTTTCTGTCCTGACAATGATGTCTTTTGTTAGTACACCGTATAGCAAAATACTTGAGAGGCTCCAAGGTAACCCAATAGCTGCCTTTCAGTATCTAAAGGGAAGCTACAGGAAAGAAGGGGACAGACTCTTTAGCAAGAACTGTGGTTATAGAACAAGGAGAAATGGTTTCATGCTCTTTTAGTATGAGAGGAGATTTAGATTGAATATAAAGAAGACGTATTTTACGATCAGGGTGGCGAGGCACTGGCACAGGCTGCCCAGAGAGGTGGTGGATGCTCCATCCCTGGAGACACGCAAGGTCAGGCTGGATGGGGCTCTGAGCAACCTGATCTACCTGTGGGTGTCCCTGTTCACTGCAGGGGGGTTGCACCAGATGGCTTTTAAGGGTCCCTTCCAACTCCAAGGATTCTATGAAAAACAGCAGTGGAGAATGTGTTGGTAGCAAGGGAAGTACTTAGGAGAATACTACTTCACAACTTCTCAAGAGTCTTTTCTTGTTTATATCGGTAGTAATGTTTTTTTTGTTTATTTTGTTTTGAGCTTTTACTCTTTTATATTGTTATTACATCAGCATTTTTTTGTAAATATCAAATGTGGTAGTTTCCTTCAGTCACACAGTGCCCAAGATCGTCAGAAATCAGAAATATTCTTTGATTGATTGATTGATTTTCTTGGGGAACATTTACACTTTCTTACTCTGAGTTCTCTTCCAGTTCCTGAAAATGTTGCTGGTTCTTTATTATACTTGATGATTTTGATTGCATTGCTTGATGTTTCCATGTAAGATTATAGGTATTATGCCCTCATTTGTTTTCTTTGTTTTGAGAACATTTTAAAGAGTTTCGTGCACTTCTAAGAGGATTTGGATGGAACTAATAACTGTTTTCTTAAAATCTGCTTTTCTTCTTTAAGATTGAAAATCTTCAAGAGCAGCTAAGAGACAAGGAAAAGCAAATGAGCAGTTTAAAGGATCGAGTGAAATCCTTGCAGGCTGACACCACCAATACTGACACTGCCTTGACCACGCTGGAAGAAGCACTTGCCGAAAAAGTGAGTATGGCAAGCTGCAGTCTCTCAGTGCTGAAGGTCCTTCTGCTCACAACCTTGCTACAGTCAGCTTTCCTATGTGCTGATTGGACTCTGCATAAAAGAAATCCTTAATGCAGCATCAAGTCCTTTGTCTGCAAGAGGAATCAGCGTGATGCTGCTGCTTAGAGACATCTCTCACAAGAGGGCACTGCAGGATATTCTGAGTGCAGCCTCTACTGTGTGGTATCGCACAGTGTGGGCAAAATGCTCCAGAGAGGCAGGAGGGTGGAGCTGAGCCATGAACCGGTTCTCTACAGTCATTAGCTAATTATCATCATCTTGTGTGAAACAAAACTGTGCTCTTTGTCTTACCACATTCCGCAGGGGTGCTGCTTGTGCTGTCATCTATTTGCGTGGTACATCTTTGGTACTGTTGTGGATGTCTGCATTTCAGTCTCACTTTATTTGCACTTTTATCATTCTTAGTGTGTTTTGTTTTCTGTTTGCTCAGTTCTCAGGAGATAGCTGACTGAGGGAGCAGCCTTGTCTGCTCTGTTTTGGTTTGGCAACTTTTTAGAATTCTTATATTTTTTTCTTGATTCTCAGAGAACCAAGGTTATGGTGCCAGTAGTCTGTCAGATCCTATCAATGTAAATGCTATGGTAAAGCTTTGCTAAGGTTAGGGTGTTCACTTGCAACCCTTCAGCTTTCTGAATAAGCAACTCTCCATTGATATCTGGCATACTAAATTGTTGTTTTATTGCCTGCCACATATTGATCGTGCTCTCATATATGCACTACCCCCTTCTTCTGTGAAGGGCCTCTATGCTTCAAAAAAATAGGTTTAAATAGTAAGGAAACAGTATATACCATATCCTCTGGGTTAATTCTGGTTATCAGAACCAGATAAATTTTGTTGTATTGTAACAGTACTGTAAACTTTCAACTGTACAGAAAGCCTGATATTTCTTAGCAATGAATGCACAGATTTTTCAAGTCAACTGTTTTCCTTCTTGAGGATCTATTATACAGCAGTAGAGAAGAATATGACAATGTCCAACAAACATCAGTGTGTAAGAAGTGTTGAATTACATTAGAAGTTGAAAGAATATGGGGGATTGTCCTCACAGGCTACTTTCTTTTGTCAGGAAAGGACCATTGAGCGCCTAAAGGAGCAACGGGACAGAGATGAACGAGAAAAACAGGAAGAGATTGACACCTACAAAAAAGACATTAAGGACCTGAAAGAGAAAGTCAGCATTTTACAAGGAGATCTCACAGAGAAAGAGGTTGACCAGCAAAATAAATCTGTTGTATTACATTTTGCTGTATTTTATATTTTAGGTGAAGATAACTCTTCCTTCATTGTAACGGTCCTTCAACAAGTTTATCTAGTAAAATATATTGTTTGAGAATTTCTCAAAGCATAAATATTGCAGAACCATCTTTTTCATGGATAGCACAGTCCCATTATTAGCAGCAGTTAATCTTATTGCCAGTGAATACCACTGGTCAGCAATGAGTTTACTGGAGCAATACTTACGGAAGGTGAGAACAAGCTTGTTTATGTCTAAATATAGGAAGGGAAGAACAGAAGTAGATTGAAGCTCCAGATAGGTCAAAGAATGTATACACATAGTGGAGAGTGTTCATGCATATTGTGTAAACAATAGAACTTATTCTTTTTCCTGTCAAGAGTCCATTTTTGGTAATTAAGTTGGTTGTTTTTAAAGAACCAACTGGCTGGAGAAGTCAACGGAGTTGTATCAGAGAAATATGTAAGTTCCATGTTCCTCTCTTGGAATTCTAACATTCAGGTCTACTTCAGTCATCTTTCACAACTCAATCAAATGAAAAGGATAAAAAAGGTACCAGGCAAGTGCTACAATTTTTGTGCACATAGAAGTGAAATTCAGGGAAAAAAAAAAAAACAAAACTGTTCAGAAAATAAGAAGTTGAGATGTCTTTTGAAGATAAATTGCACAAGTCAGTGTCACGCCCTAACAGTTCTGTGGAAAAAAAACTTTCTGCAATCTCTGTTTTACATGCAGTGACCAAATCTGCTAAATGTATATGATTTTTAAAGAAGGTTTTCTTTAAAAACAGTTTTTTTCTTAAATTTGACTATCGCTGAAGAGCTAGTTATAGTTTGCAGAATGTTCTATCCTTAAAAATAATTTTTAAATGGATTTAGACAAGGTTTCATTTTGACTCTGAGAACTTGAATTAAATCAAGCTGCCTTAAGCCAGCTCTGTGAACATCCGAAAAATTCCAACAAAATATGTTGTTCTAAGTTGATCATCAGCATCATGTGAAGGGATGAGAAGAAAATGATGACCAAAAAAAAAAAAACCAAACCCCACAAAACCTAGCTATTGTACATAGGGAGTATTTATTTGTTAGTTATTTTACGTCTTTTATTTTAGTCATCCTTACTGGATCTGAAGGAGCATGCTTCATCCTTAGCTTCATCAGGACTGAAGAAAGATTCAAGGCTTAAGACACTGGAAATTGCATTGGAACAGAAAAAGGAAGAATGTTTGAAAATGGAAACTCAATTGAAGAAGGTAATCTTATTTCATATTTGTATATGCAAGGTAAATATCCAATGTTACATAGATTGGATACATTTACACTGAAAAAATTGGGTTTGTAGATTGCTTTTCAGTAAATACTCTGAAATTGTGTCCATGCAAACAGTATTGCAAGCCAAGTCTATCAGAAAGTAACTTTCAGACACTGCTGCTAATTTTGAACTTCATTTGCATGCAATGACGGTGCTATTGACTGCGTATATTTTAGCAGGTACAAGAAATTAGAAAGTTAGTCTGCTTCAATACAGTCTCCACTAGTAACTGTCCTATTAAACTGGTGTAACAACTAGAATTTTAACAGCCAAACATTTTGCACGTAAATTATCAGCATATGTAGGTGTTAATGTGATAAATGCAGGTGCATGAGTGGCACGTGGGAGCGTGTAATAACAAATGGGTATGTCACCAGTGAAGTGTCTAATCCCTTGTTTTAATCTCACTGTGAGTCACAGATGGAAAGTTTGTAGGAGTGTGCAGTTTAGCAGAGTGGTACACTCTTACAGGCAAGCTAATTTGCTTGAACATAATCATGCAAGTTGTCTGTACTTCAGATATGAATAGCCCATATGTTACACCTTTAGAGAGTATTGATTTGGTTGTAATGAAAGAGTACAAAACACATTAGCTGAAATATTGATAATCCTTGTGCTTGTAAAATTAGAATAAGACAAAATACAGCATTTTAAAGAAATTTAAGTCTTGGATTACTGAGTCATATCTAGTTCTTTACATCTAGCCAGGAAAATGAGGTGTGTCTGTGCTCTGTCTGGTGTGAAACTCTGTCCTCGTTCTTCAGATGAATATGAGCTTAAGTTTAGAGGCTACAATTAAGTGCTGCTTGGCAAGTCTGTTGAGTAGATTTTAATGCACTTGAGAATTCTACAGTTAAGCATGTCTAGATCCTTAGTTTCCCTTTTTAATTCTGCTCCACAAATGAAACAGTTCTATTGGTCAGCAAAATAAAACGTCAGGAATGAGTAGTTGTGCACATTTGATCAATCTCTCAGGCTGTTTTCAACATGAATGAATCAATATTAGGACATGAATTAGGGCACTTTCTTTTGAATTAGCATTTCACCCTTGTCAGTTTGTTAATAATAATGAGTTGAGTAATACATTGCAGCAAAGATTCACCAGAGGTTATTGTAGCAGCTGGACAATAGTAATAATTTGTGGATACGCATGTAGTTAAAATTATTTGTAAGTGTAATTACTTATAAGTATATATACGTAGTATTAACTGAGAGAGTACATAACAAACGAAGTTAAGGAATAACAGTTGTGGAAATTCAATTATTTAGGTAATGTGATTTTATATTGCATGTTTGTGAATGTACTGCTTTTCACTGCTTCCCCAGAGATCACTTTTTTTGCTATATGCACACATTAAGCATCTCAGTAGCATAAGCTACTGAGCATAAGCTGGTGTGGAGCGTGACCAAAATCTGTTGAAACACTGCTAGATAGATGATAAATATGCACTTAATTTGCCCTGCAATGGCAGCTCTTCTTTATAATTTCTTTAGGTCTACTTCTGCTCATTTCATTTTGGAGATTGTTTAATAACTGTTATCCAGGAACTTTACTTAAGGACACACTGCCAGTTCATGAAAACATGTCTTTTTATTATCTATTCCTTTTGTTTCAGGAAATAATTAGGAGGATGAAATATTTTCCTGTGATCCTTTTCCAGAGGCTTAAAATAGAAAAAAGATCAAAAGTACCTAGGCAGGGCAGCTATGGTACAAGCAATTGCATTCTTTATTTGGTTCTGAGAAAAATAATGAGTATGTATTCACTATATTGTAAACACAAATAAGTTCTCATCTGTACATCCTACAAAAACCTAATCTCATTCATTCAGAATGGTTTCAGTTATGCAAGCTAAGAAAATTCATAACCTACCATTACCTGTGTTCATTCCAAAGCTTGACCATTAATACTCTGGACATCTCTGCTTCAGGCATTGCTGCTTGCTGGGACATTAGGCAATTATTTCCTTTGCAGAGAGCCTAAAGTACTCTCTGAAGTCTCACAGAGAGAAAATCATCAATACCTTTTACCTCACGAAAAATGTTGCAACATGTTGGGCTACTACATCTTTCTCATTTAAGGGAAAATACAAATTGACTTAAAAGATTTTTTGGTGATACTGAGTCAGTCCAGACTGGCTTTTTAGAAAGAAATTACAGCCGTAGAACCTTGTGTGTTTTCATGTAATTGACTATCTCTCGCTTTCCTCTTGTATGAAACATCCCACTTCTACCACTGATCCTCCCTGCTTTCTAGAACCAAGTCACAATTTCTCTTTGTTACAGAAGAAAATATAGTTAACAACCACTTGAATATACTTTATAGCTATGAGTAAGCTTAGGTATTTCTTTAACAACCTTTTCCCATCTGTTTTTAATTTACCAATTTTTTTTTTTGTCATTTGCAGAGAAGTAGAAAAATATTTTTTACAGCATTTCTCTCTTTAAATACATTGCAGCTAACTATTCAGGCAGTTTGGCATTTTCAAGGTGGATTAGTTACTTGTCATCCTTGAAACAATTGCATGATGGATAATCCAGCTCCAATTTAAAGCTTTTAAAAACCCAGTTTTTCACATCTGCATTGTTAACCGTTGTAAATAACTGTCATAATTACCCTTAAATCTAATGGCTACATAATAGCATTTGGTTTAAAAATGAGTTAAAAATGACCTGAAGAATTTTATTACGTTAAGCATAATTATATTATTTTAGTGGGGTTTTTTGTACGTGACACGTGAAGGAGGTATTCCCTTTTGTAGCTCTTAACAGCAAATAGCAAGAAGCTTTTCCTTCTAGGTTCTTTTCCTTGTGATTTGAGTAGAAATGTGCCTATCATCACACATCAATCTTATTTCTTTTGCCTCTTTTTGTCTATTAAACAATTTGTTTACTTTCAGTTAAGTCTTAGCCTTAAAGGTTCAGAAGATGCAGCCCTGGAGCCCTGCTAAACCATTAGATAAGTAAATAATAAGGATCCTTGGAAAAGAAACTCTTGTTAATCTGTAAAGAGTGAGTCTTAAAGAAATCATTAACAGTGCAAGCTTCCACTTCTGTGAAAGCCATTTAGCATTACTCTGAAGTGAAACATCATTAACCAAGTAGTGTGTAGGGGTGCTGAAAAGTTACTCATGTTGTTTTTCTTTCCGTGTCAGCAGTCTCTGTTTTCTGATTTTGTCCATCCAGTTCTCATTATTACTATTCTCTTTCTTGCTAATGACTTTTTTTTTGTAGCTAAAGAGCTTGGGTGTTTTTTGCATTGCTGGGTTTCATGGGGGAATTAGTTAGTTTTCTAATAATACGTTTATGGAAATCTGTGTGCTAAACGTTCTAATTATTCTATTGCCCCTGCTTCTTTGCGCAGCTGTCAGCCTACCACAAGGAGATACTGAGTGCTGAAAGAAAGCCATACCTCACTGTTGAGTGTACCTGGTCTGGTGTCATGCCTTAAATAGTCTCCTTTTATGCTGAGATGGAGTCATTAGAGGGAAATCACACACAAGAGTTCTCTCCAAGCATTTCACTCTAAGGTGTTTTTTATGTGAAGTGCGATGGTAATATTTTTCTAGTGAACAAGTTTTCTTCTAGTTATTTTAAGGACAACCTCTTCCTAGCCTTTTGTGTCTGATATTTCTCAGACAATGTGCTTTGTTTCATTTTGCTTTTCTAATCTGGAGGAGACCTCCTAACATTAGAATGTGTTCAGCAAAGATGAGCACGTCTTTGTCCGTTTCCATTTCCAGTGAATAGTTTTTCTCCCTCTGGAAATTTTATTCATTTGAAAGAGATCAAGGTTAGAGAAAAGAAAGAATCCCAAACCATATGTTAACCAAGTTCCCTTTGGTGCTGTTCTGGAGACTTTACGTAAAAGAAAGTTAACAGTGATTCCTTGCCAGGAAAATACCTCTAGATTCGTTGGGCTCACTTACAAGTTGCTTTTTTTTTTTTTAGATTTTTTTTTTCTGCTGCGGTCTTCTACTTTCAAATTAAGAAGGATAATATATTTTAGAAGACAGGAAAAAATGTCTGAATGAAGTGTTGACCCAATTTGCATGTTTCCGAAGATTTGGCGTGGTTAGTCTTATACTGGCTCTTGTGTCCTTTCATTTTTGTGAAAAAGGATTCCCTGTTACAACTGAAAGTATTACAGATACATTAGTAGATGAACTAGAAACGATAAAACTTTTTTCACATGTTTGCAGAAGGTTATGAATTTTTATATTCTTCTTAAAGGGTGATAAATGTGTTTGCAGTATAGCAACCTAGGGTGAAAAAGGCTGCCAGGGAAATCAGCTTCTCTATTAGGAACACAAGTAAAAACTCAGCAACTGGTTTCAGCATTCAGATAGTGTTAGTTGCTGAAGTATTTTTCCAAACTATTCAGTGGTCTTGTGATTGACACAAGTGAAACCCTAGAAATTGAAGTCCTGCTACCTGTAAAAGTGTCACCTAAACCCAAACAGAGGACTGCAATAAGTATTTGAGTACTTGACAAAACTGTTTTATAATAAGAAATGAAGGTAAAGTTTAGAACTCAGACAAGGGTAACTTCCAACATTTCTCTTGTTTCAAAAGCTGCTTAGTAATGCGTGCAAACTCACACGTTGAGATTGTCTTCTTATTAAATACAAGATGTAGCTATTTTTAAAACTATTTTTTTGTTGCATCTTTTTTTTTTCTCTCACACTCCTGTCTCCTATCCCCAACTCTCCCCATCTTTTCCTATCCTCTTTCTCCCTTTAGCACCCTGAAGTTTTATTGAGTCATCCATCCAAGCCAGTAAGTTCCCTGGCAAAATAAGAAGCCATTGCCATCCCATGTAATTTTCTTGTGTGTTGCATGTGTATTCACCTGTGCTGTATGTTTGAGTGTGGTGAATTAATTTAGTGTAGTGGGTGTGGATACAAAGTGCAGTGATGCATCAGACTGGTGCTAGTTACG